ACATACCGGCGGCCCACCCTAGTCGTGTTCCTCAATATCAAACGTGCCTTCGATTAGGTTGATCGAAGTGCCCTTTGAGATCGTCTACGCAGGAATGGTGTGCCTGAATAATAGCTAAATATTATCCAATGATTATAAGCGCATAGCACGGGCAGAACAAATGCTTACGATAAGCTGTCGTCACCCTTTAATATCTCTAGTGGTGTGATACAAGGATGCCCGATGTCACCTTTCCTCCTCAATTTTGCAGTTGACGAAGTCATGGAGATTACATTTGCAGGACACGACTTAGACGATGTGGACCTATTCCCAGGAGAACGACTTCTTGACATGCAGCATGCAGACTACATTACTCTCATCTGTAACAGCTACCAGACGTGCCAAGCTGCACCAGACAGATTAGTACTGGCTGTCAGCCGCTTCGGGCTTTACATTGCACCATCGAAGTGCAAAGATTTCTTCCAAGGTTGGTGGGGATCGCCCTCTGCACTGACTCTTGGTGGGAATCAGATAGAAGTCGTTCGGAAATTCAACTAACTGGGAGATTGTATCAGTGCCCGTGGGATTGAAGATGAGATCACGAACCGTATAGCAAAAGCTCGAACTGCTTTTGTTAGTCTTCGCCACCTATGGCGACGGCGAGACGTCACTCTCGTCTTGAAGCGTAGAGTGTACAATGCAGCGGTAGCTTCGACCTTACTGTACGGTTGCGAAAAATGGCCCCTTAGATCAGCAGTCATAAAGTGGCTAGTTACATACGACCATCGGTGCCTTCGCAGTTTGGTTCACATCTGGTAGAAACTGCTTTAGCAAAGAGTGTGCTCGACGTCGTGTTTATGACCCAGGAAAAGGAACTGAACCGCTCAACACCGTCATTTTAAGCATCAGGCTCCGATTGCTCGGCTACGTGTTATGCGTGGCAGCCCACCGACCCCCGCGACGTGCGTTGTTTGCGCTCCTGGGTTGTGGGTGGAAGAAGAGGAGAGGTGGCTAAGCGATGACTTGGTGGAGAGGAATGAAGTCCCTCACTTCGAAGCTGACCTTGGTTGGAGCGTTTCGGCTCCCTGGTTGTGGACCAAAAGACGATGAACACGTTTGGTTAGACACACTTGCTGGCATGGCTAGGATCCGACCTCAGTGACGTTCCTGCTGTGAGTTCCTTTGTCCCTCCCATGCCTTTTAGCCTCCCCACCCAACCACGACCTCATTCCGTAGCATAATATAGTTTTACCTCATGTTTTTTTTTGTAACCTAGTAGCCGGAACGATGCCCATCCGTTGCTAGTAGCTCAGCTGTACGGATGAGAGACCTGGCCCATTCGTAAAGATGACTTGCGCAGGCTATCCGTCTTCGAGCACCGCTGTCTGCGGTCCATTGCCCGTGTGTGGTGGCAGCACCACGTAAGCAATGTGGAAGTTAGACAGCGTGTCTTGGGACGTGGAAGTCACTCGCTCGAGGAGCTGGTCTCACTACGTCAACTGAGGTGGTTGGGACACGTATTGCGCATGCCTGTCCAGCGTTACCCCCGTCGTGCGTTGTTTGCACTTGCTGGACAGGGCTGGAAGAGACGGTCTGGTGGACAGCCTACAACATGGAGAAGCCGCATGAAAAAGTTGACGAAACAATTGGCCTCGGCCGGTTGTTGTCGACTACCTGGTTGGGGTCCGAGAGATGAGGATACTTGCTGGTTGAAAACCTTGGAAGTTATGGCTCAAGATCGATGTCAATGGCGGACGTGTGCATCAGTGTGTTGCGGTGTCCCTTCCTCCTCCCCCTAAAAAAAGAACAAACTGAAAAAATTTTCAAAAACTGTGAGTGGTAAACTTGACAAAAAAAGCAGTGCTTGTTGCTCTTTTCTTATTATTCATATTGTTTTCCTATTCAGCCATGATTCCGATGGCACAATATCTGTACCACAGATTGTGTATAATATATATATATATATATATATATATATATATATATATATATATATAGTAGCTCAGCTGGCATGCAACTGTTGTATTTCTTTTCTTTTTTCTTGTCTGTGTTACGGCACAGTAGTTGAGGTGTTTTAGACTTCTAGCTAACGTGTATAAGGAAAAACTCGCTTAAACGTAACGAAAGTTTCCACATGGCTGTGGTTGCCTGTCTGTGGTTGAAACGGCGGTGAGTGAATGTGTTGAACTGCGCACTGCTTGCAAACCTGTAAAATTTACCTGTGAATTAGCTATTGTTGTCAGGAACAGCTCTTTCTGAACAGTTGAATCTGCTGAGGCTTTGGCGCAGTTTTGATAAAGTAGAATTGGTGGTTGTGCTCATTCTGAGAAACTCTTCAGACGACTTGCTGTATGAGTCCAATATGACGAGGAAACCTCGACCGTTGATCGGTCCTACGAAGTCGACATGTATACGGCACCAAAGTTTCGTAGCTTTTGGTCATGAATGGAGCCCGGTTTTGTGGCACTTTTAAGATATTGGCGCAATGCTGGCAGCGTTAAGCTAATTCTTCTAGCTGCTTGCCTATAAAGGGCCAAGATACATACCTGCGGACAAACTCCTCTATCCGGTTGATCTCAGGATTCTCGGCATTGAACTTCCTGCGCTCCTGAATGGAATTGGGGAAGACAACACTCCGAAAATAGTATCCAGCCGTCCACAATAGTAGCACTGTTGCAAATCGACAGAGGAACAAAACGTTGCCAACTCGTTTTGTGGAACTTTGTGACTTGCTTGAATACTGGGTGCCGAAGCGTTTTGATTCGTACATCTGCGGTAAGTGTTAGGTTGCGCAACGTGCCCCTCACCAAGGATTTGACGTCCGGTGCAATTCCTATCAAGAAATATCTGTGTCATCATGTTCTTGCCGATGGGCAGCAATTAGTCGTGTATCTCTGCTTGTTGCGGTAGTTCCCCTTCCCTCCACCAATAAAAAGCAGCAAAAATATCAAACTGTGTGTGGAAAATGAAAGAAATTGTTTGTTTCCTTTCTTCTGTTACTGCAACCCTGTTCTCCTATATCGCCATGGTTCTGATGAAATAATAGATGTACACAGGTGGTGATATATATATATATATATATATATATATATATATATATATATATATATATATATATATATATATATACCCCATGCTGAGGCTGATGTTGCATTCATGATGTTTCTTCAAAGTAATTGGGCTAAACCAACGTACACTTAAACTAGGTCTTTTTAATGTGGATAAAGTTCAATACATTTTATTTGGTTTGTTCTGTGTAGTTGATAATCTTCTCCCAACTTGCACACGCCGCTCATGCAAATCATGGTACACTTGCGTAATTGTATCGCGTGGTATTTTTTTTAAATAACTCGGACATTTTTTACTCATCACGGATCCACTGATAACCAATTTCCTCTATATACTTATTTAGCGAGTATTTATGTCGTCATACGCGTTTACTTTATTCGATATCGGCATTTTGAGTGATTGGCTGTTGTTTGACATCACAGGTGTGGCTGCGCTTGATGTGCATGTTGACAAGGTGCCTACCTGTCTATTACCCACTACCTCGTCCATCTGGCTCCAGGAGACAGTTGGTCATTGCTGGAGGGGACGGGATGCACGGTCCTTGTGGTCGTGTTGGGCTCGAAGAGAGGTTCCAGCAGTCAGTGTGAAGCGGACTACGGTCCAGCCACCGCCTTGTGGGCACTTGATTCCCCAAATACAGCGTTCTTGGGTTTGCCTGTGAAGGAGTGTGGTCCGCCTCCGTTGATGAAACATGGCTCCAATCCACATGCCTCCCAGTCTTATTCCTTCGGGTTTACACTAGATATGGGGTGTGGGGATGGAGCTGTTGGTGGTGCAGCGCAAGCCATTCATGGTCCCTCTGTAGGCGCAGGCGTCCTGTGGCTGGCCACAGTGACAGGCAAATCCGAAACCGGATGCCGCCAACTATATATATATATATATATATATATATATATATATATATATATATATATATATATATATATATATATATATATATATATATATATATATATATATATATATATATATATATATGAAATGAATCAAGGCCAGAAAACATTTCAGGGTTAAGATATCTTTTCGGTAAAATCTCGTCAGACCCAAACTTTTACATGACACGGATTATGTGGGGTAAGCGTCAAATCGGGCTGGGATTGATTTCTAAGGTGTTTGAAAGGTCAAGATCGATGACTAAAGGTGGCTATAGATGGTAGGAAAAGTGCATCAAAGGAAATTAATACAAGATTCAGGGCCTAAAGTAAATAGCTAAGGTCACAAAGGGTAGTTAAGTAACCATGTCAGTCGGCCAAGGTAGTAGTATCGGCCGTATGAATCGTTTGTGTACGCATAATTCCGGCTTCAGATGATGGATGTAAATAGCCTCGGCGATAGACAAGATTTGCTTTCGGAAGCCTTGTGATAAGCGTTCAGGTAGTGAATAGATGACTTTAAAATCATTCTCCGATGCAGTATGGCCACTTTCGAGGAGGTGTGACATGATTGAGCTGTCTGAGGCCCTCATTTCGCCTTTGTAAAACCACGCCGGGATGTGCTCGCGAATCCTCTGGGATAGACGTCTCGTTGTGCGACCCACGTATCGTGCACCACAAGAGCACGAGTACTGATAAACGAGCATTGAACGGGTCAACGATGGCAGACTATCTTTCAAGGGTTTTGCAAGCAATGGTTTGTTGTGGTAAACAATTCTTAAGCGGGCTGCGAAATAAGTTTTCTCAACAGCATCTTTCAAACGTCGAGACAGGATATCAGCTGCAGTGTCGCCCTTAAATGGTAAATGTATGAACAGCTCTTTCTTGGGAGCAATGCTTCTAGGTGGCTTTTGCTTGCGTTCTTTCATATGCTTCATGATAAACTTATCGGGATAACCATTCTCACGAAGGGCGTCGCTGATTCTCTGTAGCTCTTCGTTGACGGTATCCGGAGTGCAAATACTGCGCGCCCTGAAGGCAAGAGATCGAATTAAACTCCTCTTGTGCTGTAAAGGCACCGCGCGGTGCCTTTACAGCACAAGAGGAGTTTAATCCGATCTCTTGCCTTCAGGGCGCGCAGTATTTGCACTCCGGATACCGTCAACGAAGAGCTACAGAGAATCAGCGACGCCCTTCGTGAGAATGGTTATCCCGATAAGTTTATCATGAAGCATATGAAAGAACGCAAGCAAAAGCCACCTAGAAGCATTGCTCCCAAGAAAGAGCTGTTCATACATTTACCATTTAAGGGCGACACTGCAGCTGATATCCTGTCTCGACGTTTGAAAGATGCTGTTGAGAAAACTTATTTCGCAGCCCGCTTAAGAATTGTTTACCACAACAAACCATTGCTTGCAAAACCCTTGAAAGATAGTCTGCCATCGTTGACCCGTTCAATGCTCGTTTATCAGTACTCGTGCTCTTGTGGTGCACGATACGTGGGTCGCACAACGAGACGTCTATCCCAGAGGATTCGCGAGCACATCCCGGCGTGGTTTTACAAAGGCGAAATGAGGGCCTCAGACAGCTCAATCATGTCGCACCTCCTCGAAAGTGGCCATACTGCATCGGAGAATGACTTTAAAGTCATCTATTCACTACCTGAACGCTTATCACAAGGCTTCCGAAAGCAAATCTTGTCTATCGCCGAGGCTATTTACATCCATCATCTGAAGCCGGAATTATGCGTACACAAACGATTCATACGGCCGATACTACTACCTTGGCCGACTGACATGGTTACTTAACTACCCTTTGTGACCTTAGCTATTTACTTTAGGCCCTGAAGCTTGTATTAATTTCCTTTGATGCACTTTTCCTACCATCTGTAGCCACCTTTAGTCATCGATCTTGACCTTTCAAACACCTTAGAAATCAATCCCAGCCCGATTTGACGCTTACCCCACATAATCCGTGTCATGTAAAAGTTTGGGTCTGACGAGATTTTACCGAAAAGATATCTTAACCCTGAACTGTTTTCTGGCCTTGATTCATTTGATTACAATGGGAATATTTGCTGTGTTGAAAAGCAGCATTGCCCGTGATTCCTTGAAGATTTTGAATGAGTATCTGAAGTTCAGTACTCGGCTGGAGGAATCCAGAGTTGAATTGGAATTTCTTAATGAATGCGTACAGGCAAGCCGCTATCCAAAACACTTTTGGAGAGAGATACGGCGCTGTGGCCTCTACCCAAACGCAAAAACTTTGAAGAGGCATGCACTTAATTATGTGGACACTATCCGCGTTAAAATGTCGGAGCTGGAGAGATTCATTTCGCAAAGGTTTCCATCGGTGTCAGGCTTGTCTGAGGATCTGCGACGGCCTTTTGAGGAATATGTGGAATTAGTTAAGCTGAAAATGGGAGCAAGAAAGCGAAGGAAATTACTTAGTACGCTTAACAACCAAGTCCCACAATTGACCTTTCCGAATAACCCGGAACGGTATGTGTTCAACCTTTCCAGTGTAGTACTAAGCCCAACACAGCTGGAAGTGTTATCATTAGGCCCTAAGTTTTGTATTCCACGTAAGAAAATAGATCAGGCAGCCTTAGAAGTGCAGTTTGAAAGCTTAATGATACAAACTAGAGACCTGTTTCCAACATCTTCTAGTGATGTTGAGAACCTAAAATCTAGTCTAGTAAATAGCTGTCATGAATATGTTAAGGCTAAACCATCTAGTAATGGTATTATTTCAAGGGAGCAAATTCAGGCAATTAAAGAGTTACGGTTAAACAACGAATTAATTATCTCTAGACCAGACAAAGGATCCGGCATAGTGTTATTAGATAGGGTGGATTATATCTGTAAAATGCAACATATCCTCAGTGACGAACGTAAGTTCCAGAAGCTTATGGCCGGAAAGGACAACACAGGGGAGTTAGAGAAACAGTTGGCCGGCTGCCTCAAGCGAATGATGCAAGCCAAACTGATCACAAAGAGCGAATACGAAAAGTTGAAGCCTTCAGGTGGACACCTACCGAGATTATATGGCCTTCCAAAAGTTCACAAGGAAGGCGCCCCAATGCGTCCAATCTTGGACATGGTGGGTTCTCCCCAGCATTTGTTGGCCCAATGGATGGTGAACAAATTGCAACCGTTACGGGATATGGTTTGCACTTACTGCGTGAGAGACTCCTTCGAATTCATTGAGAAGATATCTGAACTCAACTTTACTAACAAAAGGATGATATCTTTTGATGCCCAGTCGCTGTTTACAAACATTCCCCTGCTCGAAACGGTGGAGTACGTGTGCGAGTTAACCCGGCAACTACCAATATACGCTAACTTTCCGGAGGATCTGCTAAAGGAGATACTATTTCGCTGCACGTTAAATGTTCAATTCATGTTCAATGGTGAGATGTACCGTCAAATTGATGGAGTGGCCATGGGATCTCCTTTGGGGCCGTTGTTGGCTGATATCTTTATGGCGAAATTAGAACATGGTCCACTCAGGAAGCACATCTGTGGAACTGAAATGTACATACGGTACGTCGATGACACCTTCGTGCTTTGCGAATCCGAAAAGCATGCAGAACAGTTGCTGAAGGCCTTTAATGATGCACATAATAATCTACGCTTCACCTGTGAGCACGAAAATAAAAACCGTTTACCTTTCTTGGATGTAGAAGTCATCCGCAATTCGGACGGCTCATGTAGCAGAAAGGTACACAGAAAGCATACGTGGACTGGACAGTACACTAATTTTCACAGCGCGGTGCCTTTACAGCACAAGAGGAGTTTAATTCGATCTCTTGCCTTCAGGGCGCGCAGTATTTGCACTCCGGATACCGTCAACGAAGAGCTACAGAGAATCAGCGACGCCCTTCGTGAGAATGGTTATCCCGATAAGTTTATCATGAAGCATATGAAAGAACGCAAGCAAAAGCCACCTAGAAGCATTGCTCCCAAGAAAGAGCTGTTCATACATTTACCATTTAAGGGCGACACTGCAGCTGATATCCTGTCTCGACGTTTGAAAGATGCTGTTGAGAAAACTTATTTCGCAGCCCGCTTAAGAATTGTTTACCACAACAAACCATTGCTTGCAAAACCCTTGAAAGATAGTCTGCCATCGTTGACCCGTTCAATGCTCGTTTATCAGTACTCGTGCTCTTGTGGTGCACGATACGTGGGTCGCACAACGAGACGTCTATCCCAGAGGATTCGCGAGCACATCCCGGCGTGGTTTTACAAAGGCGAAATGAGGGCCTCAGACAGCTCAATCATGTCACACCTCCTCGAAAGTGGCCATACTGCATCGGAGAATGACTTTAAAGTCATCTATTCACTACCTGAACGCTTATCACAAGGCTTCCGAAAGCAAATCTTGTCTATCGCCGAGGCTATTTACATCCATCATCTGAAGCCGGAATTATGCGTACACAAACGATTCATACGGCCGATACTACTACCTTGGCCGACTGACATGGTTACTTAACTACCCTTTGTGACCTTAGCTATTTACTTTAGGCCCTGAAGCTTGTATTAATTTCCTTTGATGCACTTTTCCTACCATCTATAGCCACCTTTAGTCATCGATCTTGACCTTTCAAACACCTTAGAAATCAATCCCAGCCCGATTTGACGCTTACCCCACATAATCCGTGTCATGTAAAAGTTTGGGTCTGACGAGATTTTACCGAAAAGATATCTTAACCCTGAAATGTTTTCTGGCCTTGATTCATTTGATTACAATGGGAATATTTGCTGTGTTGAAAAGCAGCATTGCCCGTGATTCCTTGAATATATATATATATATATATATATATATATATATATATATATATATATATATATATATATATATATATATATATATAAAGGCATGATGGCAGGAGAGTCTGTGATACTCTAAGGCTGGTGGTGGGTAGATCCTGACAGATGGTCTATCCACTGCTGCTACTGTTGTGCCCAGGGATCGTGTCCTGGTCGGCACAGCCAACCATATAGGCGTGATAGTGCATGCGCTTGTTCAATGGGAAATATCGACTAGTACCTGATCTCGAAATCATAAACTGTTAAATTAGGAGCCCAACCTTGTAGCTGGTTAGCTTTGTAGGCCGGGATGCTCTTTTTCAACCCATAGGCAGGGCTTATGATCTGTCGGAAGCTTGAAGCTGCGGCCGTACAGCATCACTTGGAATTGCTTCACCGCGGACACTACGGTCAATGCTTCTTTCTCAATCTGGCTGTAATTTCTCTCGGCCTTCGTAAGTGTCCTGCTGGCATGGGCGATTAATTTCTGAGATCCCTTGAGTTAACTCAGTTCCTCGGCTTGGGCAAACGGGAAGCTCACTGCATACACAATACCTGAATATCCGCATTCTTTCCCTTGCCTCGCTTTTCCTCTTTTTGTTGTCGTTTCTCCTGTGTTGTGGCCTACTGCCAAATGTTGATTGAGCAAGCGTTATATATATAAGTACATGTGTGAAATTACTGCACCACTCCCGTGACTTGATGCATATGCGGCTAAGACAATCTCTTTGGAGGGACGAAAATGAGTCAACTACAGGTTTGAAGACAGCGATGTTTTGAGCCGTTCGAAAGCATTCTGGCCTTCCGGTGTCCCGTTCAAAGTTTGGCCTTTGGTTAATAGCTTGTTAAGTGGGGCACGCAGGCGGTGCATCTCATGCAAGAATGCGCTGTATTGCCTGATGAGCCAACAAAAAGAACGCAAGGACTGAAGGTTTATTGGTGGAGGCATCTTCATTATGGCTTCTAAGCTTGCGGAATCTGGTAGACGTCCAACCTTTTCAAGGATAAAACCAAGGTATTTGATGATCAGCATGAAAAATCTGCCTTTATCCTCAGAAATCCGAAAGCCGTACGATTGTATCCAACCACGCACTTCATCCAGCCGGTTAGATAGCTCTTCTGATGTTCAACATATCACTATGATATCATCCAGATATGCAGCGGGCCCAGAGAGGCCCGCTAGTATGGTATCCATCAACTGTTGGAAAATAGCTGGCTCCGCTTTTACGCCAAAAAGCAAGCGGTTGTATCCTAATAGCCCACGATGAGTTTTGCTCGTCATCAACTCTCTTGAGTCTACGACAACATCCACTTGAAGGCATGCATCGGACAGAGCAAGCTTAGCAAACACTTATCATCATTTAGTTTTGCAGTGATATCTTTCGGTGGGGGTAATGGGTACTGGTGGTCGTCCAGCGCAGTGTTAAGTTCAGTTGAGAAATCAGCGCCGACGCGTACCTTTCCACTGGCCTTCTTCACCGTGAAAATAGTTGCGGCACATGATGAGTAGTTGTCGGCTGTGATGACTCCGACTTGTTCCGTCGATCGAGTTTTTAATCAACAGATGATATGGCTGCAAAAATTAACGGTCTCTTAGCCTTAAAGAATGGTTTGGCTCCTGTTCGCAGGCTTAGTGCTGTATTGATTTTCGTACAGTGGCCAGAGCAATCCTGAAAGACAGAGGCAAATTTTCGTTTCAGCGAACGTGTCATGTCTTCGACGGACTTCGATGAAGGGTCTGGAATTGCTCTTATTCAGAGGAACATCAAGGAGATGCAAGTTTTCAATCCAGTCGTGACCAAGTAGATTCGAATTCGGCCGGTCTGAAATGTAGCACGTTCCTGACTCCTCCACGCGTTTTAATGCAATCTTGCTAGTTCGCCGAACAATTTTAGCACATCATCGGATGCATTGTGAGAAACATTGTAAGACTTGATTATATTTGGCCTTCTTATGCGATTACAAGTGTTCCTGGAAAGAATCGTCACGTCCGATGCCGTCTCGAATTGCAGTCTTTTGGGATAACATTGATCAATACGCTGGTGAATCGTCGTCTGGTTTTACACTAACTTTAGAATGCAGCAAACAGGGACAGAGACTCTGTTCTATCCTTTCTAGAATTCCCACTTCGATAATACTTCTTCATGTTCTTCAGCCGGACCTGAACGCAGAATTCCTCCTTATGGCTCCGTTTATAGCACGTTTCGCAAATATAAGGTATGAAGGGGCAAAAACGTGCGAAATGCCATTCGCCGCATGACCAGCATGTAGTGGGAGGTTTGTTCGTAGACAGCTTGCACGGTTTGACTGAGCTGAAAGGAGTGCATGTTATCGATTGGTGCGATGCTCTTCTGATTGAGTAGGGCAATGTCCTGTTTCAGAATCAACGACCATTTGCATTCGCTTACGGGAGCCTTCAGTGTCACATCGAGATCTTGATCCAGCTTAAATCAAAGCCGCATGCGGATCTCAGCATCTCTAGGGGACTGTAGAGTGCTGATGAAAATGAGACACTTAAACAGATCACCGATAAAGAGCGCAGCTTGAAACGCTCACTCTCACGGTTAATCATGTCTGCTAGGGCCCCAAAGTCATCTACTTCCCGTCTGACGATTTTCAGACATTGACGGCCAACACTAAACAAGGATACAGCCTTACCAAAACTTTCAATGAGCTGTGACACTGCCACGCCGAACGTCAGATCCTTCGGTTGTTTGAGCAGAATGTAGTCTATGAACCTAGTATGTTCACTTGTGCTGAGCTTGCGGAGTAGCAGCCACAACTTCCAAGAGTCGTCTTGACGAATGCAGTCCGTCCGGAACATGTCTTCCCAGCGCTTGAATCACGCTTCGAATGTGCATCCAGAACCCGCGTCATAATTGAATTCAGTGAGAGCATTCGTGAGAAGATCAACGGAAGTGGTCTGCGTATCCCGCGTCACTGCTCCTGCGGATTGCAGACTCAAGCATTGCGTAAAATTCACGATCATTTTCATTTGAGCCTCTATTCGAGATTGCCGTTGGGAAAGTAGCTTTTGGAATTGTTCAACAGCAAAGTTTATCACATCTCTAATTTTCTCCTTTTCCAGTTGTTATGACCTTCCCAATTGACGCAATGCTGACATAGGCAATTTACTGCCCCACAAGACCTCCAGACCAACCGAAGGAAAGAGTAGGATGTCAATGAGCTTGACAAAATAGCGCGCTAACAGCCATCAACAAAACACCTCTATTATTGACCTTGGACTTCTGGAACAGGAAGGTCGACTGGCAAGCTTAGCAGTTCCATACAGATTTGGCCGATCTTCAGGAGGTTGGTAGTCACGTACAGACCTTAGAACATTGCAGAAAGCTTGAAATTTATGTGATAATCGGTAACAAGCGATTACTCGCTGATATAATGGATTTTCCGGGGAATTCTTATATTTTACCTATGTGTGTGTGACTTCGTCCCGGTACCCGGCAGAGACTCCCCAACGGAGCGCAACCAAGAGTTAGGAGCCTCTTAGATCTGCCCCATCAGCTCAGATGGAATTCCCAAAGAATGCATAGCAATCGATATCAGCTTTTGCGAGGGGACCTCCTAAAGGTTTACCAGTTTATGAAGAACCCAAACCACTTCCGTTATCGGCTATCGGGACTGAACTAAAACATCAAGTTAAGTGGTCATTCCCTGAAACTGACAATACAATAGAACCGGCTGGAGTGGCGTAAAAATTTTCTCTCACTCCGAGTGCGTCAGCCGTGGAACGCTCTGCGAATTATACCGCCTCCGTGCAAATATAACGATATTTAACTAACTGCGTGACGAAGCGATGTCTCATTGGCATTTTATTTTAAAACTTGTGTTAGACAGAGGGGTACCAAATGCATTGCAACTGTGAGTTTCCAAAATCACAACTAATAGATTTATTGATTTATACTTTTATCACAAGTATATCTCAGCTCTTCTACACGTATCTATAGTGAGTGCAACCAAAGTGTTTTCCTTTCTCATGAATTTTTAGTTTCTCCATGATTTCTATTCCATGGGACTTGTCAAGCCTTGCTTTTTACTCGTAATACACCATTATTCCATTATAAGCACGTGGCAGTTCCGTTGCTTACTTACGCTTATGCTAAGCTGTCAACAATTACCCTTTCATGAGTGTCAAAGTGTGGAATAATGGAACTTCCATCTAAAATTTTCTTTATAACCTATATCGGCACGTTATCTGTGACCAAATTTATATCTGCAATTCCGACATGTATCCGTATGCGAGATGCAGTTTATGCAGATCGACATAGTTAGTGTAAACGGTTGGTGTGATGAGATTGTGCAAGCAGAACTATACGGTTTGCGAGGTGAAGCAAGCGGCAGACTTGTCTCAAGCGAACAGAGCATTTGATTGGACAATTACGCATATGTCGTCTATGCGCTGATTAGTTCGCTGGAGCGGGTCTGCTTAACGGATTCAAAGGAAGAATCTCTTGAATGCAGTAGCGTCGTTAGTTATCGAAATGACTTAGTTATTTACGCCGAGGTTCCTACATGCTTGTTATACTGTTAATTTGCTGAACTCGCTTTGCGGAACAGAACGTTTGTCGCTGAAGGAGCGAGTTCTGTGACAGTAAGATGCAGACAAGAAAGTAGGATCAATTGTTCATTTGTTCCCGAGCTTGGCGGTTTTCTCGCAAACGTTTCACCACCATGCGAGGTGGCATACTCAGTGCAGTGATATGTAGCGTACAAGCTTACTAAATGAATTCTCCCTCCATGATCGACCTGCAGGCGACTTTGAACGTGGCAGTGTCGATTTAGGTCCCGTGACTTCTACCCACTTCCCCAAGGCTAAAGTCGGCGCCCGAGTTGTTCTGCCTCAAACCGCGTGGCAAAAGGTTCTTTATTTCTTTCTGTCGTGGTGGTTCGTATATTGAATCGATGTCCACGCGCATGATTCAATCAACATGCGCGTGGACATCGATTCAATATACGAACCACCACGACAGA